TTTTTTTGGTACAGGGGATCCAACTCAGGACCTTGTGCTTGTGCGGCAGGAGCTGGAACCACTGAGCTAAATCCCCAGCCCTAGAATGATCTTTTTAAAGCACTGAAAGGAAAAAATGATGCTGACTTAGAATTCTAAATCTAATGCACATAACCTTCACAAGTGAACAGAAAATACAAACTAAAGTTAAGATAATGTGTATTGCTAATAGCCTGTCACTAGAAAACACTGAAATTGTTCATTTTTTAAAAAAAGTGATGCTAAGTAAAAGCAGAAAACTCTAGAAAGAAAGAGCAACAATAAGAATAAATGTGAATAAATATAAATTAACTTGGACCGTTTAAAACAATAATTTTGGAACTGAGCATGGTGGCATGTGCCTATAATACCAGCACTTAGGATGATCACAGTGAATTCAAGGCCAGCCTGAAATATATAGTGGGACCTTGCTCAAAAAACCAAAATAATTAAAATGGGGTTTAAAATATGTATAAAAGGCATTTGTAATCCCTAGCATAACCACTAAGTGAGAGGAAAGAAAGAAAAGACAGTGTATGTTTTTAAAAATAATATTGAAATAATAAAATTTTAAACCTCAAGAAAGACTAACAAGGAATTCCAGCATTCTGGGAGGCTGAGACATGAAAATTACAAGTCTAAGTCTAGCCTGGGCAACTGAGTAACTTAGTGAGAGCTTGTCTCAAAAGAAAAATGTAAAGGGCTGTGGATATAGGGTAGCTCATTGCAAAAACTCGGTTCAATCCCCAGTCCCCAGAAACACCCCCCCCCCAAGTTAAACCAGAAAACAAATCACTGTTATCAGTAAAGATAAAGGAGGCTAAAAGAGGTGGAATATGCAAATGCAATATGTAATTTTGCACTAGGGGGAAAGATTTTATACAGGACATGATCCAAACAGTTAATAGAATTGTAGTATGTTCTTTTTTGTTGTTGTTCTTTTAAATATTTGTTAACAGTGCTAAATTCCTGAGGCCTGATAACTTGTATTGTGACTGTAAAAGAAAATATTTTTAGGAGATACTTACCTGGTGTATGAAGGGATAAAAAGGGGTTGGTTTATATAATCTATTCTCAAATTTTTCAGAGAAAAGTAATTATATTTTTAAGAATAAAAATAATGCTAAGAAGTTTAATAATTTAGGTGATAGATTCTTCTTGGCTAAACAGTCAGGAAAAAAATTTCTTAGTCATACCTGTTAAAGCAAATGAATTTGTGTTGAAATACCTCTCGAAAAGAAAATTCTAAGTTCAGATGGTTTCACTAATGACCTACAACATAAAAAGAAATTACTTCAATTTTGTGGTATATTATGGAA